GTTAAAAAACCTAGGGTTTTAGGAAGAAGAGCGAGGAGTGTGACGACGACACCATCCATCTCTACGACCTCTCCACCGCCTCCTCCCTCAGTTCCCTCCACCAACACTCTGCCTTTGTCACCGCCTTCTCCTTCTACGCCCCTACCAATCTTCCGTTCCCCCGCAACCTCATCTCCGCCAACGTCGCTGGCTCTCTCACCATTTTTTACGCGGACGGCTTCGTCCATCTTACTACGCTTTTCTTCCACTGCCACGCCGCTATCAACGACCTTGCCCTGAACCGTTCGGTGAGTGCGCCCTCACGTTGCTTGTGACAACTGCCTCGCCATCATCAACCTCGTCCGCGGCCGCCGCAACTGCTTCTTGCGCCTCGACAAGGAAGCTACTCTGGTCAAGTTTAATGTGTCCGGCGACCACTTTTTTATGCAAAGAAGAAGGTTTCTGTCCACCACTTTTTGTTAAGCTTTATGGGATTCTTGTGATGCATCTTTAGGAGATCTTCATTGTGCTACCGGTGTTGCGTTTAGGGGGTGTTGCATTTAGGGAAGATTCAGAGGGCTTTTAAGGTATGTTTTGTTTTATGTGTTTGGTGATTGAGAATATTATTGAATGAGTCGCAAATGCAAGATCACAGGTACAAAATGGTAGAGCAAAATCTTATCAGTGAGAAGGTGTTTTCCTTTTTGTTGAATGGGGATCCAAATGCGAAAAAAGGTGGTGAAATGGTTTTCGGTGGTGTTAACCTAAAGCACTTTAAAGGAGACCACACTTATATTCCAGTTACTAAAAAAGGTTACTGGCAGGTTAGCAAAAACACAATTTATTTGATTAGGAATTCCTTTTAAATACACAGACACATATATGTATGTATGTATGTTGTATGTATGTATTCACACCAGAAAATTCTTGAGCATGAAAGTTATCTTTTGCAGATTGAAATTGGAGAGTTTTTCATTGGAGGTGCTTCTACAGGTGATTTTATTGTTCCTCGACAATAAAAACTTCTATTTTGGGATTTACTAGTGGAGTCATTGAGTGGTTAAGATGCTTTGGAATATGGTATAAGGAGTGAATCTAGACTGAATTTTTTACTTCCTAATACTTGAATTTATTTTCAAGAAATGCAGGGTCAAAAAACTATATCTTTACATCAATGTTTGTGAAATGAGATTCTTTTTCTCCTATTTGTTGCATATGCTTTGATTAATGTGCGTTAAATTCTGAAACATATCAATGTTCTTTTAGGTGTTTGTGAGGGTGGTGATGGTGTTGGATGGTGCTGGATGGCGGTGATGGTGTTGGATGGTGCTGGATGGACGACAGTTAGGGTTTTTCTAGAGATGGTGATGTTGACGTGTCAGGGTGGTGATGTGACAGAGACTTTTTTAAATTTTTTTTAAATTAAAAAATCATTTAAGTCCAGCTATTTGTCACGTGCTTATGAGATGCTACCTCACTTAGCTACCAGGCAACATTTTTAACGCCGTCCACAAAATTTAACGGTAGGGGTTTTATTAATTCAATTTTACATAAAAATAAACCTAGTTAAGCTCTTTCAAAATAAAGAGACCCAATTGATACAAAATCACATAGAGACTTTTGAAGATATTAAACCTATATTTTTTGTTTGGCACCCAGTTTCAAAAGACTATTAAATTAATAAAATTATTATAACAAAGTTAAATAGAAATAGAATTTGTAAAATGGTATTTAAATAAATTTAGTAAATAAAAATAAAACCTAAACAAAGAGAGAAAAAACGAGAGCTTATGAAAAAAAAAGTTAATTTTTTTATGAATTGTTAGTTGGCAGTTTTCTTTTATTTTAATATCTATAGTGAGTTTTTTTCTTACTATCAACACAAATATTATTATTTATCAATAGTTTGTTTCAATTTTTCGAAATGTTGACTGAAAAAAAACTGAGCAACATTAATTATGATTGTTTTATATTTAAATAATTGTATGTATTAGAAATTGAAATATTTCATCTAAATAAAAATATTCAAATTTGAATTTACTTATCAAATAAATAATGAAAAATAAAATATTTTAAATTAATATCAATTTAAATTCAATATATTGAAATATATCCTTGACAAATTCAAGGTAACATTCAACAAAATACTTACAATAGTATTGTACCGTCTGTCAGAAAGTTTCAATTTAAAATTCATTTAAAATTTCTATTTTCTTTTCTAGTTTAAACATTAAAATGTTTGTCTTTGAATTCTGTTAATTGAAGTTTACTATATGTTTATGTAAATGTTTCTTCTTAGATTTTTTAATTTACGAAAATTAAAAATTGTATTGCTAATATAATTAAAAGAACTTTTCAGTTAATTTATTTTTTTTAAGATAAATAGATTTAGTATTTATTTTTTAGGAAAAAATATGTATATGGTATAACGAGATAACTGTTTGAGCATCTTGTTATTTTCAAACAAAAAAAATAAAGAAAAAAAGAAATTTTTATGATGGTAGGATTAACAGTTTTCAATAATTGTTTGAAGTTGAATAAAGTATAACAATTCTCAATAATTGAATGATTAAACTTTCTCTCTAACTTCTATGCATAAAAAATCTTATCCATGGATATTATTAATAAATTATTTAAAATTTATTGTTTATGATTGTGTGAGTGATACACATAGTTAACATTTAGTTAATGAAAGAGATTAAATTGGAGTAAATTTTATTTGGACAAAATTGACACTTTTAAATTATACGTTTGGACAAAATTGAAATCTTTTTAAAAGAATAAATAAACTTAACAGACTACATTGAAACCAAAAACAAAGAAAACAATTAAAATTTTAGAATGTTCGATGTTGTATGGTAACAAAACCAATCCATTCCGAAACGAATGCAAAATAAAAAATTTAACAATAAAAAACATCTCAGCTTTTGTTATTTAATATTTTATTGTTTATAGTTTCTATAAAAAGTATAGAAATTAAAGAAATAATTTAATCTTTTTTTAAATTTAAATTTTATTATTTTGCTATCCAAATTTGATTATTAATTTTAGAAAAACTTAAACGAAATTTAGTATTGAGAACTAATATAAAACTGTTCAAATTAAATATTCACTATTTTTTTTAGGAAACATGAAACCTTTCATTTAAACACAAAAAGAAAAGAAAAATAAAAAATGGAAACCTTTGTAGGCAAAACCATTGAAAAAGTTTGATTGGTTAGGTTAGATAGGATTATACCTCTCAGCTCTCTATCATTCATGTTCTCATCCACAGCTTCAACCCTCTTGCTCCACTCCAACTTAGTGTAATCTCTCTCTTTTTTCTCTTTCTCTTTTCCACTCGGATTTAACACACCCCATATGTTCTGTATGTGATTAGATAGTATGAACATAGGCCAAAGAAATCAACTTTGTGACTTTTTCTTATAAAGTTTGGAACTTGAATTTTTTGTGTCAGTGTGAGAGCTATGTTCGTTTCATTCCACATTTCCAACACTGACTCACGCCTTCTTTTACCCACCATGGTTGATTGCACTTGTGCATTTTACCCTCCAGCAACATTGCAAGTGCTTCCTCTGGTCAGGGCTGCCCCTGCAAATTTAACTTTTGTTTGTTCCTCCCAAAGGGTTCTCCCCATTGAGGAGCTTCAACTCAGTGATGCTGATGATGCTGATGATGCTATTGTTGATTACTCTGATTATTTCAACAATGGGGATGGAGTGGTTGGCTTTGATGACTCCCTCAGCGAAGAGGTGCTCAAGGAGAGGATCAGAAGAATGAGAATAGGGCTGGCCAACCGCGGGAAAGTGCCTTGGAACAAAGGAAAGAAACACAGTGCAGGTAGTTGACATTTCAATTGACATTGATGTGTGTATCCCAGGTTTTAACTTGTGGCTATGGGTTTTTGTTGTGATTCTTTATATTCTGACGAATGTGATTGATATAGCCCTAATTGTCGTAGTCATGAACCCTAAAATCCTTGATGTTGTGGCCAAAATTGCGGTTGCAGACAGCCTTTTAAAACCTTGTGTGTACCATGTAGTTGGTTAGTTTTTTTATGTAAGTGATTGTGATTCCGGACACAATGCAGAGATCCGGGAGCGAATCAGACAAAGAACTATAGAGGCTTTGAGGGATCCTAAGGTGAAGTCAAGTAAGAGTCATTCAGTTTTTGGAGTGTTTTCTCCTTTTACAAGTGTTTTCAATTTGACTAACTTATTGTTACAGTGATTTTAGTTGTTATTCTTTGGTTTTAGGTTCCTTCATTTCTTTATGTAATTATTCAAATGCTAGCTACCTTACAAAATAGTTTTTCTGTTGCTAGGTAGTTCAATTACCATGTAACTACTATTTCCTTATTTCCTGTCTCTCCTTGACCAAATTTCAGGTAAGGAAGAAGATGGCCGAACATCCCCATTCTCATAGGTAAACATATCTGTCATGGAAATCTCCTAAGTTTTTCTGTATGCTTCCTCAAAGCAGAATGTAATCTTGCTCCATGCAAAATGATAGTTTATCAATGGGAAACTAAAATACTGTGGATGTTAGGAGGTTATTGGTTTATGAGAGAAGGAAGAGACATTAGTTAGCCTAACTGCCTTGGCAGTTAGGAAAGGCGGGGAGGGACTTGTATAAATAGGTTTGGGTTTAATTGTAGAGGGGTTGGCTTTTGGATAATAACATATTGTCAGGAACTTGTTGTCCTGAAGGGGGAGGTTAAGCTCTCCGTACTTGTATTCTTGATTGACTGTAAATACAAAGAGGTTATACAACATTCTTGGCTGTGTGTTTTGAGTGCGTGGAGTGTGTTTTCTATAGGTTTCTGATTAGGAACCTATCATTTGGGAGTAAAAATGATGGGATGTCTGGTCTTTAGACCTTTGGTTGTTCAAATTCTACCAATTTTAACCGAAGAAAAGTAATCCTACTCCTTTGTTAATTCAGAAATGGGGGAAAGAATGGAGACTAGAAGTTACTGAGATTGAAGACTTGGATTTGGACTCTTGATTACTTATCATATGAATGTTTCTACCTTCCACATTGTGATGGGATAGTATAGGCAATAAACCGGCATCGAGTTGTATGCTACTTGGCTTAGAGAAACAAAATGTTTATTTCTCAGGTTATAACATGTCTGTTTTAAGATATATGATGTTTCGATTTTGTATTTATTGCTGTTTGTCTGACTAAATATAAAGGCTCATATGTCTAACAATTGAGGTCATTCTGCATTATTTACTATCATTGCTGTCATAAAGTGTTCCACTCTTGTAAGTACTGAGTAATATCTGAGAATTTTCTACTGTTTTGTGAGATTATGATTGTTACCGACTCTGATACTTAACAATGATCCTCATACTTCCAGTCTCAATGCACCTGAAAGTTACATATCTTTATGGTACACAGTTTCAAATATATTTTGCACTCATTGATAGATAGTGTTGAATAAATTTTTTTGATTGTCTTTAATCTTGCCTATGAAATGAATATTAAATTTGTAGCCATTGGCTATGCATTCATATTCATTAAATATCAACCTTCCTGCAGTGATCAAACCAAGGCAAAGATAAGTGATTCAGTGAGGCGTGTTTGGCGTGAGCGGCTGAAGTCGAAACGGATAAGGGAGGATTTTTTGCTTTCATGGACACAAAGCATAGCAAATTTTGCCAAGAAAGGAGGAATTGGTCAGGCAGAGCTAGAATGGGATAGCTACCATAAGATAAGACAACAGTTGGAGCTCCATCATCATATGCTAGCCAGCAAAAAGCGAAGAGAAAAGGTGATGGCAGTTACTGGAGCAAAGAATATCATCCTAGCATGGAGGGAAAACATAGCCAGAGCAGCTAAGAAAGGAGGGAGTGGGGAACAAGAGCTTGACTGGGACAGCTATGAGAAGATACAAGAAGAAATTATTCGCCAGCGCCGATTTCAGCGTACTGAAGAAAATGCAAAGAAAAAAGAGTTGGCCAGGGTAAAATCAGAGAAAGCAGCTCGGATAAAAGCAATAAAAAGGGTAATCCTCACTCAGAAGAGAAAAGAGCATCAAGAGAGGGCTAAAGTGAAAGGAAATATAAAGAGTCATCGCCACAGAAATAGTAAGGAAGGCAAAGCTTCCTTGGAAGATACTCAAGAGTTAAAACTGTGCAATCCATTAACTAAGGTAAGATTCTGTTTTTCCTCTTTTATTGACTGTATATAAATGCAACACGTTGGCTTTGTCAATTAAAAACCCTTTTATCTGTATTATCAGTAGAAACTTAAAACACATCCTGTAATAGGTCTTTTAGACCAGGGAGAGAGAGGAGCTGAATGAAATAAGGAATAAGCCAATAAGAAAGTAGTAGAAAAATGTCCTTTAGAGTGATGAGAGTAGTATAGCTCTAAAAGCATCTATGCTATATATTTGTTTGTAATGACCTTAATTCTTACTATTTCTTAGAAAGTGGATTTAGACCTAACTTAATTATTCAAAATCTT